TTTTGCTTTATGAATGGTTGTACCTGGAGAAAAGCCAGTTTTTTGGATGATATGATTTCCATCTGACAGTGGTATATGTCTACCTAATGGTAAATTTAAATAGATATTAATGAATAAATTAAATTTCTGGACCAAATATAAGGTTAATTGCACAACTTAAAGAGGTAATAATTTGGAGGATGGATAATGATGATAATTTTACGATTCTCTTCTCTGGTGACGTTCTTTATTTCTCTCCGAACATACTATCATTGAGCCTGTCCTGTCAACTTTCGACTTGGTCACGTATAGTAAATCGTGTTTATTAAGTTTTTATGGGAAATATGATACATGTATATTGTTAAATATAAGCCCAATATCTAATTCTATCAAGAATGTATTTCAATTACTAGAAACGAGATTAACTGGAGACTTGAGATATGATGGTTGACAAGGGGGTTGCTACCACTGTCCGTCGTATCTGGCGAGCACAGAAAGAGGGGGGGGGGAGTGGTCAGTTCTTCTATTAACTTTTAATTTAGACATGCACAACCAATCGAATTATTAACCAAAAAGTTATTCATCCACTTTTTTCTGAAATTTAAGATTGGACAAAGCCCAGACAAACTATGGGACACCTGATGCAATTTTTCAATCGGTTTTTTTCAGAGAGTTTAGGTTAGGCTACTTCGGTATTTACATTTAAAGTCAGGAAACTAATTTAGTTTCAAGTCATCTTGGTATAGGATAATAGAATAAATTATACGTTATAATTATTATATGATAGTTCACACGATTTAATTGTCGTTTTTCTCAATAACTGACCCCTATATCTATCGTGAGTTTTCAGTACGATATAGGGTGTTTATACCTTGTCACAGGTCAGTGCTCAGCTTAATATATAGGCTTTATTAGGGTCAAGTATAAGTATATTACAAATAAATGGACTTATTTACATCATAAACGTCGCTGTGATGTTATCCTATTAAACAAAACTACTTATTTTCAGGTTTAAATTAAGAGTTTATTCTCTTATTTTGCTACACACTTTTGTTTTGTAGCCAATTTATGAATTGAGGATTCATTCAAGATTGTAAACTTTTATATTGGTATAATATATAATAAGAATATAGCCACATCGTTTTTCAATCTCAAAACATGATCACTTTAGTAATATAATCAGATCGAAAGTTTCAATCCTAGAATATTTTTTACGGTATTTCCTCTAAAAACATAATCATAACGGCATTTCGGCATTTCATCTAGGAATATTTAGTTATTATCAAGCTATATAATATAAAACATTCAGCCCTCTATTAATATTAGTTTTAATTTTATTTTTCAAGAGCACGAACTTCAACAAATAAATGAATGTCTTTATAGTTATAACATAATGTTGCAAAATGTATTGTCCTGAATTGAAGACAACCTGTATACTTTCACGTAAGATTTGAAATGTAATATCGCCAATTGTTATTTAAATTAGTGTTTGAAGAATGTTATTCGTGCATAAGACTATGTGATGTGTTGTTTTCAATGTATCTTTACTTATCCGGTGATTATGTATTAACTTGAAATGAGGTCACCATGTTATAACAGTAAAGAGGAAACGTTGTGTATTTATGCTGTCATGTTTATCATGCATATATAATGTCAATGAAATTCACGTATCTTATTAATGCAGTGCAAAATGGTTTAAACATCATTCGGAAAATGACATTTTAACTTTGTGTATATAAAAAAAATATACCTAAGAAAATTGTTTTCGCCTACACTTTAATGTAGAAGCTCCGGGCTATGTAAAGCTTGAAAATTTTATGACACACAACAATTTTGAATTACTTATTATATTGTACAGGGAGATGAATAATATATATCAACATACTGTAGAGAAACTTTAAACGTGCTAACGTCTGCTTGACTTGACAACTCATGAATAATACACCATATAATAAATGAATTCATGTTGAATAAAAAGGAGACATTAACGTTACCTTGTTGATTCTTTTCATGTTTCTTGGCAATTCTTTCAACTGTTTCGAATGTAATATCTTGGTTAATGTTCAAATCGTCACTCATGGATTGCTTTTTACTTTCCTCTTCGAACGACTTATAGATATCGGGATCACTCTGATACAATGGATTATCTTTTTGAAGATGGAAAAAGTTATCGAAAACATTCACATTATCGTCAAAATCATCGTCATCTTTCGATGTATCAATTTTGTTCTTTATCAAAATTTGTCCACGAACCACTTTTAAATCCTTGCTTTCACTCGAATCCACGAGTTGAGGTTCATTGTCAATTTTATAACTTTTAGCAGTTCGTTCGTAAGTACTGTGTGTTACTACGTCTCCGTTAGGTAATCCGTTAGGTGGTCCAAAACCGTTAGGTAGATCGTTAGTAAAGCTTCTATAACTTATGTCACCACGAGTCGGAGATAAGGTACGCATCCTGAAATTTCTATCGGGCGAAAAACTTCTATCAGTCATAAAAATTTCTGGTTCCTTGCGTTTTGGTGATCGTTGCCGCTCAGTTGACCTTGTGTTGTAAACAACATAACTTTTTTCATCTGGCTCTTGTCTTACATCACTTAATGAGCGCGAAAGTTTATCAGTATACTCACGCCTTACATCCACAGTAGTTTTATATTTTCCATAAGGACTGGGAGATCTGGTTCTGAATATCGGTTCCTGTGACACACTTTTGCCACGTGATAAACGATAAGATTCATCAACAGGTGTTGGGCTGAAACTTCTTTGAACGAACCGTTTTGAATCACTAGTGTTGATTCCATTTTCCTTAATTCGTGACGTCACATCACTTCTTGATGACGAAACCCTAAACCTCCGTCCATCGTCACCAGAATCGCTGTTATCCGAAGGACTTTTCGATTTTCTTCTTCGGGACTTTCGCATAGTATCGTCACTAGTTTTAACATTGACGACCTTGTATAATGACTCACTTCTTGTCGGGCTGGTTACACCACTATCGTTTCTATTAAGGTTTATTATTGTACTATTTCGAGTAGGTGAAAGTGTCGTACGCGCTTTAGATGGTATCATCCGTTTCGTACGAGTAGAGTATTCGGGTTCGAAATATCCCGAATCCAGTCGTGAGGTACTGAAGCTTTTACTCTTCTGGTAGGAGGATTTGAAACTGTCTGTAGGTCCGCTGTGGATGACCCGGTATTGTCGATTATACTCAGGTGACGGGGATCTTGACTCCCGAATATTAGACGAAGATAGGTAATGACTCCTTGACGGTGAATATAACGATGAGGCATAACGGTTGGCTCTGTACAATTGATCATCGCTCATCACTGATTCCGAGCGATATGGTTCACATTCGTTGCTACTACGATGGTTTCTTATGCGATATAATTTCCTCATTTCATCGTCAGATTCGTAACCATGCTTATTATTTGAACGATAGTTATGGCTCGGATAGGAATGGTCCCGTACCTGTACTCTGGTTACGTTTCTGTCGGATTCGGAATCAGATGATACAAATCCACTGCTCTTTCGCCTTTTGTTTAGATCATCGGTAGATGCATAGGTTTTTACAACTTTGACCTTTCTACCATCATCTATAAAATCATAATCCCTGTTTATTGACGTTTTATAGCCTGATCTGTCTAGACGTTCAGATCGGAACACGTCAGAACGAGATGGCCGTTCAATATCGTGGTATCGGGAGCGTCGGATCGGGGAAGGTGAACGACGTCGTGGTGCAACCTCGTGGTAAATTGTGCGACGTTTTGGTGATTGCGATCGTCTCGGTGACATTGATGCTCTTACAATACGATAAAGATGTGCATCATCGTCTCTAGGGGATTCTTCTGAGGTAGTTCTGGAAGATTTCGAACCGTAAACACTGTCGACTTCGTGTGGCGGAATTATGGTAGTTGTTGTGGTCGTTTTGGAGTAGTAATTCGTCTCATTATCTTTTGCCTCTTCATGCTTTTTGGAATCGTCTTTTCTGACAGATACGGTAGTGACGTTTTCTTCTCGTTGCTTTGGTTTGTCAATATCATTTAGGAGTCCTTGTACTTCTTGGTAGGAGGTTGCAGTTGGTTCGACCGATTTGACGTAGTTGGTTTGAGTCTGTATCTGGTTATTCTCTCCTAGTGTATATTCTGTTGTGGTTCCAACGTATTTATCGCTGATCGTTGAAATAGAATTTGAAGTCGTGGCCATCATTGGGTTATACGCCTGGAAAGCTGAATTAGTGTTGTAATTTAACGTAGACGTAGCTGGAGTTGTAAGATTTCCAATATTATAAGTACTGATGACCGTATTGTCCGGTGGTACAATAACAGCTGATGAATTGTACGTTCTCATGGCTGAATTACTTAAATCAATCGGTACTTGTTGGGTGGTAACCAAAATAGGCTGTGCATAACTGGTACTTCTCTGCTTATATCCAATCACAGAATAATCCGTGGAATCAGTATCAACACTCAGCTCGTTATCCAAGGAAGATGTAACAGATTGGCCGCTCTCCTCCACATCTTTATGTTTTGTGATAGTTTTTTGTATTCGGTGTTCTATTAAAGCCACATTGTCGTCAGTGACCCCATGGATTGTCACGGTTTCGTGCTCCTTAACATCTTGTGTAACGTTGTTATCGTCGTTCTCTACTCTACTAGATACACTGCCCGGTAAACTGATCATACCGAAGTTTAGTGAGCCACTCGTTGATCCACTTGATCTTAAACTAACAGATCTTTGGTCTACTTCATTGTTGTTAGAGTCACCCACTATCATAGCATTGTTCTCACCATTTAATCCATATAATGCCGAAATCACTTGATTAGCCGTGGCATCATCGACCTTTGAATCGATTCTTACATTTCCAGTCGAACCAATTTGATACGATCCTGACTGCACTCTACTACCAGAGGAACTACTTCTGGAACTGAAGGTTTCCTGCTGTTTGGTACTGTCAGTAACATCTTCCACAACATAAACGTCACCATTTGCCCCTTCAACCATGACAAGTTCTCCGCCCATTTTTGTTCCACCGAATCCCCCAACGGACGAACTTGACGATCGCATGGAATGGCTGCTACGCGAGGAGGTGGCTCTATCGCTACGGTCACTTCTGTTTGATGCCATTCTTTTAATGTTACCAATATTCGACAAGTCCAAAGTGCTTAAGTCATAGGTTGTGACATTATTATCATCGAATCCACTCAAAACTGGCATGTTGTCGGATGTGGTTTCCTCTTTCTCGCCGATAATTTGTTTTTCTTCAAAATTAGAATGGCTGAATGTGGAAGATACCGATTCTTTCCTTGCAGTTTGGCTAACGTGATATGACGTTTCCTCTGCGTCAGATTTGTCAGACTGTGATGAAACTGAATCTCTTCGTTGAGCGTCTAATGTATTGTCTTTATCGGATTTACTAGAAATTGACGAAATCGATGTTTTCCGTAAGCCGCCTGTGTTCTGTCTCACTCTATCGTCTTCCTCAGAATCACTTGAAGCTTTTTGCTCTGAATCCGACTCGGAACTCGGTGGCTTTGTCTCCTGTAAAACTGATGTTCTCTTTGACTTCCACTCTTCAGATTCTTCCAAATCAGAATCGTCGTCTTTCTTGTACAAGTTAGATGGCGCTCTCTCCTTGTTGCCGCCAACTAATACACTTTTAGACGATGAAACGGTAATGTTTTCTGTAGGTGCCAAAAGAACAACACTGTCCTCGGGTGGGGGTTCGTCAATTCCTTCTGGGAACAAACTCTGTTTCCGGGATTCAGGATAGGTTTGTCTCAAAACGAAATGGTCATTGATAGACTCGGTTGATTCACCGCGAGTCAAAGTTGTCTCAGGATCAAAATGAGAAGCGTTAGTAACCGAGGACAGAGTTTCTGAATTTGTTTCGAAAGTTTTTGAAGTAGGTCTGCTTTGTGTGTCCGATGGTTTATCAAGAAGATTTTGGAAGTAAGCTTTAAGATCTGTACGTTGAGAAGACGACGAAAAATTTTCTTTTGAAGGGGAACTTTCTAGTCCTACTTGAGATATAGTCGATGTGGTTGTAATAGAAGAACGACGCGAATCAGTAGGTTTAGAAAATTCGGAAATTCTGCGGTTTACTTCATTAGCGTCCTGTTGGGAATTAGTTTCATAGATTGACCTTATTCCAGAAATTACGGATTCCTCGTCATCGGAATCGGAAAGATTGTCCAACTTAGAACGCTTTACCACAGAAGCGTACAAATAGTCTGAGGCACTGGGCACAAAAAGTGTTTGTTTACCTCTTTCGATGACACTTTCCTTGGATTCAAAACTACTGGTACTATCCTGTCGTTTTGTCTCAACAACCGAATCGAAAGATTGTTTATTAATGTCTTCCTTCACAGGCTCTGGAACAAAATTTATAGAATCTTCTATCACTGAACTTCCAATTCCGTCACCAATATCTGCTATATCCGATTTTTGGGAACTCAACGGCACTGTATCTGACTTTTTTCCAAACAGGCTCTTGAATTCAGAAAGAATATTATCGAATTGTTCCTTAGGTTTAGGTTTTTCGGCTTCTTGCACATCGTACGTTTGATCATCTCCCGAGCTGTCGTCTAATGAATTATAAGAAAATTTGGCAGATGATGTCCTCGAATGAGTCTTGCTGTCAGCCTCTGTCACGTGACCACGTCGTACACTTGTTTTTATTTTTAGTTCAGAAAGTAGATTTTCATATTTTTCTTTCGGTGACATCGCCCTGTTTTCATTTTCATCCAGATTATTGTATTCAAAAGTCTTTGAACCGTGAAAAGACTTGATTTCTTCATCGGCTGAATCATTACTTCTACTTGATGAAACAGACGATCTTCTCCTTATTTGGGTGTTTGACACAGTGGATGTTCTTGTAGTCTCGTCTGGTTTGTCTTGTTCACTTAATTTACTATCTATGTTCACATCAATCATTTTGCTTTTTACTGAAGTAATGTTTTCAAAAAGTCTTTGGTCTTTCGTATAGGCGGTGTCGTTACTCGACAAAACCGGTGGAACGTCCTCTGCATACCATTCATTACTTTCCTCCGCACTTTTCTTCGACATATTCATGTCATTGCTTGAAGTCCATACATTCGAATAACTGTCAGCTAATCCCTTACTTTCATTATGATTAGATGTTACGCCTATAAGTGGTTGACCTAAATATGTATTTTGTGCATGATTTAGACCCTTTAATTCGTCACCCGATTTGAAAGGATCATTGTTAAGATTTGTATTAAGACTATTTGATTTGTCAATGTTGGCCGACGATAAAACCTGTTGTGTGTGGCTTTCTGTTGTTGTAGAAGTATAATCACTATTTAGACTATAAGAAGGCATATTATAGTCATTTGTAACGGGATCAAGACTGTTTTCTATTGGTAATATTGAATCAACTTGCGCAATGTTGCCATAATATGTACTAACATCATTAGTCTCTTTGGAGCTCGAACTTTCCCTTTCCGATAGTGTACTCACAGACGAATCATTGGACGCAGTCGTAGTCGCACTGATGTCCGATTGATTTGAATCTGTCTTCCTTATACCAGATTTGATTAATGGTAATTCATCTTGATGGAAAAAGTCATAATTTTGCACTGATATTTCACTACGTCGTTTCTTGGTCAGAAACCTACGCATCTTTTTACGTTCTAAAGCCGACGATTTGTTATAGCTTTGTCCCAATTTCTGGAATAGTTCTCGAAGTTCCTCGACAGTGCCAGGTTTGATGTAAGCTCTGACAGTTTTAGCATTTTTACCGTCCCATTTTGTGATAAGAAACGTGTCCCCTTCAATATGATCAGACGAGTTGTCACCCTTTACACGATTAGGATCCAAAATAGATTGACTTGATTCAGAGATAATAATATTTTCTTTGGCGATCGATTGATCCAGATAACGCAGAATTTCATCTTCATGTGGGGAATATTTTGGAACTTTGATGTGGTTTCCGTGGAATGACGGTGTCGGTGATGGGGCTTTAGGGGGCAGAGAGGTAAGAGTGGGCGACGGCGGTGGTGGAAGTTCCTGGTCATCCAATGGCGGTGGTGATGATGTCGGCACGGGCGGTGGTGGTGGTGATGAATTAGCTGAGGATGGTGGTGTTTTAGGAGAAACCAACGGCGGAAGTAATTCTGGTAATTCCTGAATTGACGATGTTGTCGAACTAACGCTTATAGGTCTAATAGGCTTAAATCCACGATTGCCCGCATTATTTCCATTTTCAACAATAGCAAGTTTTTCACGGAGGGGAATTTCTACGACCCCCTTACTAACAACACTCTCGTGTGAGGTACTCCGTTTCGGAATGATAAGCTCTGATTTGTAAGAATCATTACGGACGCTGTGATTCCTCGAAACATAGATGATCTTTGGTTTGACGTTACTATCGATAGCTCTCGGGATCCTTTCACCTCGGTTTTTAGCAGCAGAGGTGGCATCTTGGATAACAGATGAAGGTAGGCCAACGTGTGATCGCCAACGAGTTTTATCCGCGCTCATATTTGAAGACTATCTTAATCAGCTAGATCCAAAATAACATCTTAATCATCGTATTCCCTGAAAATATAAAAAAAAATTGCTTGAAGCACTTTTGTCCAATTTGATCTCGTTACCCTTAACTAATCATTTTTCTATTCTAAACTTTAATTATGAGATTTAAGGGAACAAAATATAAAGAAATGGTATAATTATGTGAATTTTACACTAATGTTCATAGAAAAACACTGTGTGCATTTTGCAGCAGCTTGTAACGTCATAATGCTTGTATGCAGAAGAATCCAAAGATTCCACTAGTTCTGAAAATCGGCCATTCCGAATCTGCTAAAAAACACAATTCTAATTATCATTTCATTGAACTTAGTTTCGATTCACTTTTAGAGTAAGTAACTAGTAGTAATCCGCAGGAGGTTATGTATAACAATATTGATTTAGTAATGTTAGTATTAATCCCGTTATGAAACACTATAGATCTGATTACATTAGTTGGCAATTCATCCATCATAATTCAGCTTTCCAATCTACTGCCTTTGAGGAGCGTATGATAACCGTTCGTTTTATAATTAGACGTCATCAATTATAATATATAGATATAGATAATTTATATCATATAGTACGATCAATAACAAGAGTGATTCCACGACAAAATCTTTGCTCATCATACCCACATTCATCATACCAAAGGGTTTTTTAGTGAAACTAGGGTTACTCAGTAAAACGTCAATATTTCATAACGATACAAAACTCACATTGACTCTGTATGCCTATAACAGAAACTGGACGTCGTAAATCCTGTATTAGAAATGCCAATTTTAAGGGTATCAGAAGATTCAGAAATTCAGAATGTAACTTAAAATTTTCTTAATTGTTGTTTTTTTTCACTAGTCGAAAGAAACGGTTAACAGATTCGTATCCAAACTTCAGATTAAAAATATAAGTATAACATTAGAATAAACTTACTAACGGACTAAACGTTTTAAAGACCACATCTCTCCCATACTTAAACACAGATAACCGGCCACACAATAAAATATATGGTCACACAACAATGTCAAGAGTGGCTAAAATATTTTATATTTATAAATCATATATCGAGATAAGAATTTTAAAGTGATTGTCCAACCAAATGAACCAAATGGAAGCTAAGAGTATTAGTTATCGTTATTGCCATTCGAAATTTGACATACACGATCGACTATTTAAAAAATTCCAAATCTTTAAACAGTATTTTAGAGTAACAATGAACCAAATCCTGAGTTGCTGTAAGTGACATGATAGCGTGTAGCGTGTCAACAGTAGTAAATCAAATTTATGACTTAAAAACGAATATCTTTCCCGACATCACATTCTTTGATTCAAAAAAGTTAACGTGAAGTTAAATTGATTCAACAGACTCTGGGGCGCTAAAAGTCAATACTTGCACCATAGAGATTTTCTATGTAATGTCAATGGTTCCTGTCATTCTAGAAACGTTAATGTCAATAACGCAAATACCATTCCAGTTAACCATTATCGAACGTGGATCCGGTTACTTTCAAAAACCCGAAAAGATCTTACGATCCCATTATGTCTTGGGTTGCTTTCATATCACCGACTACCCACTTTAACTAAAAGAGTGGTTTGCCCAGTAACCACGGCTTGTTCATCAATACAGAGAGTTAGATCTGACATGTTGATCATAGCCCAGGGGTGTGACAACATAGATAACCTCTTTAGACGTTATGGCCTTTTAATACTGGTTATATTTGATTTATATATTAAGATATCATAATATCTGAAGAAATTTTAAGATAAACCACCTTTGCTGGCGCTAGAAAACATATAACATTCTTTGAACTATTTTATTTACTGTAAAAGCATTTACAAAGAAATAGCCCTTGTATTTTCTCTTAAAAACGTTTCGAATTACCCACATGGACTTCCTTAAGTCCTAAATTCACTATAAGCTTTGGACCTCGCCATTTTTGGTACATAAACGTACTGGCATGGGATAAATAGGAAATTATGGCAAAAAAAAACAGACAGTAGACATGGAGGGATGTCAGAGTCGATGACAAAACTCAAATACTGTTAACTAGTCAGTTAATTTAAGTAATTTAACTTAAAGTTTGTTAGATTTATGAATAAGAAAGATGTCAGTAATAATGGCGAGGCAAAGTACTATCAGGACTAAATTATATTGGTGAAATGGGAAAAAACAATGATGTTTTTTAAATGTTCAATAACTACAATAATAATTAATAATTATAGAATAGACTTTCTGGGCCTTGTGTTTTTTTTAAGTTGAAAAGTGGAAGGAATTGCTTCTATTAAACCCCACATTCCATCCTCCTCAACTTACGCTATCTTACTTTTCCACTGTACATTGAATATGAAATTATTGACAATGAATATTGTTAGTTATTGACATTGTCTTGTTTTAAGGTTTGACATGATTATTTACCTATGTTAGAGTTGAACAGTTGTTATACAGGGGTGGGTTTATCACTGGTGTAATAAGATGCCTTCATGTCAATAAAAACTACTCTACATTGATAAGACATCAAACATTCTTTGGTATATATCTAAACAATGGTCACTGTTGACCAATGTTCTTGAATATATGCTTAAAGCGACACATTATTTAAAGAAACATGGATTATTTGAAATGTTGGGGCTATTTCTGTAATAAGGCTTATGTTTCCACAATGTTTTCTGTTTGCTACATAATGCAATTTTCTGACAAAGAAAGAAAGAACAGTTATATTTTACAAAAATAACACAGTTTAGGATCCTTTCTACCAGCTGGTCTCTTGGCATTGATCTTTCCCGGATTATCCGTACCCATTTACAACTATTTATTTATTCTGAATAAGGTCATGTAAATATTTGATTGTTTTCTTCACAATTTGAAATATGTTGACATTAAACCTTTTTTACTTAATAAAATATTGCAAGATAGCTTGCCAGGCAAGATAATATACGCCCACTGGAGCTTTGATTTTAAATGAATATATTTTGCAGTATAGTAACAATTACCAGTATGAAATATTCAAGCTCAGTCTTACACTTCTTGCGATACTGTGTAATATTACCAAGTTTTGTCAAAATCTGTCAAGGATTGGACCTAGAGTGTTTACGAGCAATTGTGAACGGACGGACGGACAAAGGTGATGACAATATACGTCCCCATTTCATGTGGGCGTATAAAAAAGATGTTAATTTACATCCACCACATAAAATGCGGTTGAATTCAAAATGCGTTAACAACGTTGTGGAGGCGGCATAGTCGCAAGCTTCTCGTGAGGCCTCTGAAAAATTGCATTGACTCATGCTGACACATATTTGTGGGGTTACAATTTGTGGTGTAAACCACTGTTCTAGGGTGCCCCTGTACCCCAATGGCATCGCCACTGCTTCCAAATAAGATCTATAGTCAGTTTCAATATAATACACGAACAGAACCGAGAATTTAAAGATAATGAGTATTCAAACAAGAGAAGATTAGCGTCTAGCTATTTTAACTGACACGAGACATTTAGACATATATCGGCACAGTGTCATGTGAAATACAGCCATCGTTTACAAAAAAAGAACTGTCTTCGATCATTTAAGTCATATTCAAATGAGGTATATTGCACATAACCAACATAATAACCCATACATTTATAAGAAGAAAACGTGTAGGAGTAGGGATGATGTATACTAGTCTTAATGTATTATGTTAATAAATATCACAAACACACATACAACTTTGTTAAAACACACCCAGTCAAGGGATTCGCTCATCAAATTGCGTTACAGTTCACGAAAATAAATTGACATGTTGTTTCAACTTACGATAAAACCAGTAAGATTGTGTATACACAATGTTAGGGACTATAGATAATGGATATAACGAATACGCCATTGCAGGGATTACACAATTATAGTTGGGACACATGTACATGGCATATACCATCTTCAAGTACAGTATCCAGTGCGGTGTACGATGTGGAATTATTGCTACAGTTGAAAATAGAAGATAAAACACACAAGGTGCAGACACGTTCCGCTTCGGCTATTTTCTACTGTATCGATAATCCCGCACCGAGCGTTTTTTACAGCATGGAGCAGCCTGTTATGATTATTGCTCGCTTTCATTAGTTCAAACAGTTGCAAAGCAATAAAACATCTCCACTGTTACAGTTCGACAAAAACACATCTTGCTGTAATCAATCACAAGCACAATTGGAGTGGAAAACAATCGAGCTATTTTTTAGAAAAAAAAATGGAATACCTTTCTTATCTACATATATATATACTTGATTAATATCCTTCATAAAGCTTCTATGCAACAAAATTTTATCACAAAACAACATGTGTTGTGTTACCAAAACACTGGTTGACAAAATAACACAATATAATATGTTAGTTGATTAACTGCCTCTATCATGTCATGCTTGGTCGTGTCTTATTAAAATCTCAATAACCTCAGATACCTACACAAGTATTTAAATTCATTGAACCATTGCACACATTAAAAATGTTGTATAAAATTGAGAAATTTCGGAGCGTGTCAACCGTGAATCAGTGATATATTTATTACTATGGGGGGGTGGGGGGGCATAATTTTGTTATACCGCAGGTCGTTACATTTTGTACTATCATAAGACAATGGTGTCATTTATAGCTCATTCGCATTAATTAAGAAAGCGACAGATTTGTGAATGTTCCAAACCCCAAAAAAATGTTGAAACGAACTGAGACTTGCTGAATATCAGTGATATATTGGTAAAAAAATCGTATACGTATCAATAAATCATTGAGCACATTTCTGAAATATTTCAAGGTTCGTTTAATATACTTATCATTGTGAATTTTCAAGCGTATAAATATGCAAATTGTAACTGCACGGCACAGCGGGGACCCAAAAAGTCAACCTGCCCTGTAAGTAAAGTGCTAGTTTTGTGAAACATTAATAATATCTGGACGATACAGTCATTGAAACGGTTCTCTGCATTCTCTTCGATAAATCAGTTCTC